ATTCTTTTTTGATTTTACCGACTAACAAAATTGAACACACGTTAAATGTATTTAATTCGTATAATTCTAATCTCCAATTTACACATGAGATAGAAATGAACAATCAAATTAGTTTTCTCGATGTACAAATCATTAGAAGTGCAGAAATATCGGAGAAGATGGGGATCCCATCGGTGTCCCAAAGTTTTGTTTATAAAATAAGTTATTAAAGGTGAAAAAGGTTGACCCTAGTAAAAGTTTGAGACCGATCTGAAATTCATTCCATGGTACTTTACATTTGTCTTCTATAAAGTTCCATCTGTTTTTTATACTCTGTATAATGCAATCTTCCGGGACGTTCGTAAAAAGAGAAGTTACATCAAAAGACACCAAGATTGCATTTCATGATAAAAATCTGAAAGTAGTTACAAAGATTTTGCAAAACAATTCTTATCCTCTCACTTTTATTAAAAAACATATCAGAAAAAGACTCGCAGTTTTAAATAGTAATACTAATAACAGTTTGTGCCCAACAATAATTGAACCGGAAGTTACCCTTACAATTCCATACACTAACAGTTTTACTAAACAACTAAACACCAAACTCAAAAATTACAATATTCGCACGGTTAATTCCATTAATAATAAACTAGATCATATTGTTACACGAGGAAAGGATAAATTGCAAAAAGTTGATAACACCAATGTCGTTTATCAGATATACTGCTCGACTTGTCCTGCAAACTATATAGATCAAACAAAAAAGAAATTAAGTACACGCATAAAAGAACAACGAAATAATATAAATAGTTTTCCCAAATATCATAATGTAATTACAAAACATCGACTCGACCATCCGTCGCATATTATAAATTGGGATAATGACTAACTTGTCTTCGTTTTGCCTCACGTTTTTGTCACAGAGTTTGTTTAGTTTGTTTTGATTGTTGACTATATTTATTTATGTGAAAAACATTATTTATGTGAAAACCATTAACTATGTAACTATGTTTCCATTTTTTACTGATGGTGAGTGTAGATGATTTTAAATTATTGTAATGAATCAGAATTGTAATTTCGTATTGTTTATTTGTAGACCTGAAGATGATCAATAACAATGATNAAAAAAATATTTTCTGATTTTTCGTTTTTTTGAATTTATTCAAAAACCAAAATAGATAGAGGTCTAAAATTTTCAAAATTAACGTATCTCATTAGTATCAATATCCCCTGAAAAAAATACCGTGGGACCGATTCACTATGCTTACCGTCCTATGGCCTTTAATTTCAAAAAATGTTTAAAAGACCACGCTGCTTTAAGGGGGGGGGGGGTTAAAGGTAAGTTATATGAAGGAGGGAGTCGGAATCGATTAAAATTGAACCATATGGATGGCCCCTAACAAGTTGTTTGCATTTCAGATCCCAATATAAACGAAGTGGCCTATTTTTCTATTTCAAAACCGTCACGTACGTTTTCTTATTCAATAAAACAGTTAATATCTCAAGAAATTGAAGTGGAAAAAATTCGAAGGCTGAATCTGGCATCTAAAAGTGGCCAAAATGAACATAAAGAAAACGGCGGACCAAAGAAAACTGACGCTCAGAATGTACCAAATCATTTGCAGCGCTTGAAACCCAAACTGAAGTCGCCAAAGGAAACGGTAGGATTTTTGATTATTTTTTTCTATTTTTATATGAGCACATTTAAAAAAAAAACTTGAGGTCTAGTCCTCGGAGACTAAATGCATCTCAATTTGAATGCTTATTAGGTGTATACTTAAGATCCTTTTCTAGGACATTTCAAAATTAAGAATGAAAACACAATTTCAATTTTTAAAGAGGAATCCGTATTATAGGGATGGTTTTTGAGGGATTAACGCTATTGCATTGGGGGGGGGGGGGTTATCGACGCTTGTAATAAAATTTAAACAAGTGAAATCTTAATTCTTGGTTATGATCAAATATGTGGTAATCTACATTTGATTTTTCTAATCAATATCAATATATATCTACGATTAACTGGATGTTCCTTAAATCTATCATCGATTGCTGTACTACTTAGACCCACGTACACACTGATTGACACAATTTTTTCATTTTCATTCTGCGTTCCCTTTAATTTTTAATTTCATCTTTGAATTATCTTAAAAACATTGTAAACTATTTGACCTTTTTCGGATAAAAAGGGATTTCATAATAGTTATGTTTTGGTGATTTCAAATAGCTTTAATGTGTCTTTTTTCTCAATTTAATTTTCTAATAATATTTTCTACATATTTTTGTTTAAATCCGTTGTATTGAGCAATGTTTTAAAAATAAATTTGAATTATTTGAGACGGTTAATAAGAAAATTTTGACCTGCTAATTTATGTTAGGTAGAGGTATTCGTAAATCTCATGGGCCGCGAGCTTGAGGGGCGGACCTTATTGTACCTATTCATATAATACATTACGAAAACGTTGAACTCAACTGTAAACAGTGACAGGTGTAAATGTAAAACAGGCGGAGTTTTGTTATTGCGCAGTTAGAGGTTATGGCTTATGACATTCTGAATTCCCTTTATAGTTCGAATCAAAAGTTCTAAAAGTATCGAAACTGTATATATTTTTTGTATCTCAGTAAAATTAAAATGTTAGAAAAAGGCATTCTACTGTTCGTATTGTTACGTATGTGACTTTTATAGTTGGACTTAAAATTTTTAAGAAGTCATATTAGATTTTGGGTATTGAAAATCATGAAAACATCATCTATGTATCAAATACAATTTCAAAGAATTGTCAGTCCAAAGCTAACATGTTTAGAACTGAAACTTCTTTTAAGATGATGGAACTATCAGTGAGGGAATAAAAAATATTAAAAACTGTATCAATAATGTGTGGAAGAAGTGAAATAAAATAAAGTGGTTTTTATTGTTGTTGACTATTTCCTCTACTCATGTTGGGTTTGTATTATACCGTGTTATAATGGTGTTTTAATTTGGTCTTCTATGAAAATATGAGCGATCTCATAATTGCACATGCGACGGGGAAATGTGTGTTTATTAATATAAATTTCTTTACCCCTTGTCATCAGCATTCTCCATTTCGCCTAATTTAACAAATGGCACAATTGTGCCTGTACAAATGATAAACTGTTTGAGTAGTTAGCTCATTACATCGCACTTGGCAAAATTCGAGAGGGTAGCGGATAAAGCAATCAGCGAAGGGGTTCAAATTATACAGTCGATTGCATTGTAAACAGTTGGAATTCTAAAGGGGTTGATTTTGCACAAAATTGGTTTTGGTTTGTGTAGGTCTGATAGTTATGTAAATACAGTTTATTATAAAACAAAAACCAATATAAGTGATGTATCATGTTGATGAAGTTGATGTCGTCGTATTAACTCAATGTTGATGTAACAGGTCAAATTCGCTTTTAGTATAAACTAGTTTTGCCTAGGCTTAACTACTTTGTTCAAAAAGTGATAGGATGAATCACTTGAACTGGTTTGTCTGACCGAACCTGTCTCACCAGATTCGATTTCAGGAAAAACTAGTTTTGCCTAAGCCAACTCAGATTACTCGAAAAACATTTTGGTCTAATATAAACTGGTTTGAGTGACCGAATCTGTCCGATTAAATTCGATTTCAGGAAAAACTAGTTTTACTTAAGCCAAATCAGATTACCCGAAAGAGGAAAGGATGAACAAGTTTGACATAGTCTAATTGTGTTGTCTAAGTCTAAATTGGTTTGTCCTGATTTTGATATCGGATAACCCATATTCAGGTTCAACTAGTTTTGCTTAAGCCAAATTTATCAGACTGACAGGATGAACCGATTAACTGGTTTGTCCTAATCGTAACTGGTTTGTCCTAGTCTAATCTGGTTTGTCCTAGTCTAAATAGATTTGTCCTGAATCTGTTACCGATAAGGCTCAGTTGTCTAAGTCAAACCAATTTATCCGAAAAGCAAAAGTATATATCAGTTTGACTTAGTCTAACTGGTTTGTCGTAGTCTAAACCGATTTGTCCTAATCTGAAGTGGTTTGTCCTGATTCTGATATCGGGTAACCCATTTTCGGATCCAACTAATTTTGCTTAAGTCAAATTTATCCGGAGAGCGACAGGATGAATCGTTTAAGTGATTTGTTCTAGTCTAAACTGATTTGTCCTAATCTAAACTGGTTTTTCCTAGTCTAAACTGGTTTATCCTGGTCGAAGTAGATTTGTCCTAAATCTATTACTGATTAAACCCAGTTGTCTAAGCCAAACTGATTTATCCGAAGAGCGACAGGATTTACCAGTTTGACTTAGCCTGACTGGTTTATCCGAGTCTGAACAGATTTGTCCTGAATCTGTTACCGATTGAACCCAGTTGTCTAAGCCAAACTAATTTATCCGAAGAGTGGATAAACCAATCTACTAATCTCTTTTACCTAACATACAATAAAAAAATAAAAAGGATTGCACTGGTCGGGAATTGATCCCGGTCGCGTTGCAGGCTGGTGTTCTACCACTGAACAGCTTAATCTTCTTGTAAAGTTTATCCAATTAAGGTGGTTTCTACTAGTACCAATTATAAATTATCTTAAGTTAAATTTGATTTACATTATCGACAAAATTTTCACAATTGTTTTGTGGTCGTGTGACACTAAACTGGAAAGGTAATGGCGAGTAAGTATTTATTATAAATGGAGTAGACGCATTTATAATAAATACGTATAAATAAACGTACCATTTTGTCAGATTTTAATAAAAACTTTTATTTTTATTGTCTGTACAATCAGTTATATTTTCAAAAAGTTAATCCAGGATGATATTGGTTTAAATATATATTTTATCTGTATGTATAAATATCCTCGTATATATAGATGTATAGCAAATGCATTTCTAAATCCAACATTGATACGAAGAAGATAATAAATCGGCCGTCGAAGACAAAAAACCTCTTAAGCACCACTGTAATAGTGGTAATAAAGGCTAAGTATATGAAAAAGAATCAGCTAGTCATCAAAGATGATAAATCGCACGAACGCATAAAAGAATGGGGATAAAAACCGATTTCGAAAATATTAATAGGCTGATGAAGCTTTTCGAGGAGGAGGGGGGGATAGGGGGCAACGATGCACATCAACTGCGTACCCAGATTTATTCTACTCTCTAATAAAAATACTGAATTTTGATTTCGCTTCGCTGTAAATGCAAGTTTTAACAGTGTTGTCTGTAAAATAATTCGAAGTGGTCTGTATTCTGTCGAAACTGCCAGACGCGGATCGCGATTTCGATCTTTTTGGAGCATACGTAATTCTAAAATGTAGCATCGTGCTACAGATGGCGTTTACCGCGCCATTTGTGGTATTTTCTAAAACGCACTGTTAAGACAGCAGGTAAAAGTTGGTCTGTGTTCTGTCAAAGCTGCCTGCGACGCGCTGATGAGATCCAAAAAGATCGAAATCGCGATCCACGTCTGGCAGTTTGGACAGAATACAGACCACTTCGAATTATTTTATTCGATTAAGCTAACGTGCCTATCACGTTGAGGTTGGCTACGCCGGGATTCGTTTTCAGCGAATAGATATCCACACAAGTGGACCTTGTTGGAGCATACGTAATCCTAAAATGTAGCATCGTGCTACAGATGGCGTTTACTGCGCCATTTGTAGTATTTTCTAAAGTGTTGTCTGTGATAGCCCCTAAAACGTAAACATGTAGTTATTATAAATATTAAGTTTATTGCCTCGTCTTAGTAGTATTTTTGACATGGACGCAGTTGATGTTACGCAATGGTTAAATTAAGTTGAGGGGGGCGGTGGTGTGGTGGGTTGGTGTCCGTCCCCTGACGACCGTGATCCGTTTTGTTCTCCAATGCGGACAAATTTCAATATGAAAAGAATAATAGTAGAAAAGAAATCGAGACGCAATCGCGGTTTAATTACGTAGTCGTAATGACCCAGAGCATATCTGAATAACGACGTCTTCGGGATAATGGATAAGATGAGGACGCGCGTTATAAATTAGTTTTGACGACGATCTTAAAAGCTTCCGACTGGAGAAAAGCCGGAAACATCCCGCCTTTCTTGTAAGTGTTTGTTCACATTCGGCGGTTAGAACCGTGCGGCGCGGCAGACTGTCGCACATCAACTTCTAATTAAATATTTTGATAAGTGTAGCGATTTTAAACGCTAAAATAAATAAATATAACAATGTCATCATCTGAAGTTAGTCATCAGTTTTCCGAAAACTAGAATATTCCACATCTCTGTTTGCGTTTCTTTTTCTTGTATGTCTCCAACTAGCCCATGTTTTGTCATCCACTTGGACTACTATATCTCAAACCCTTCTAAGTTTTTATTTTCCGTGGTTCCCAATCATATTTTGTCTTAGAGTTTTGTAAAGCTCAAAGACTCAACTTTGAGAATATGAAACGGTTTTTTGGAAAAATTGCGTAAATTATGTGTAAATTCAATTTAAAACAAAAAAGAATTTTTCCTATGTTAATTAAATGGAAAACTAAAATAAAAATAGGGACCCCTTAGATTTGAGCTATAGGGCTCATGTTTGGCGAGGAATTTTTTTTACATCAAGTAGAAACATTTGAGGGGGCAAGAGTTACAAAAGAGTTTGAAGCACCCTATTATACATAAATCATATACAACATAAAATTTCTATAGAATAATTCAAGT